CGAATTCTTTTGAAAACATGCAAGTGCTACTTGATCTACTTCATGCTCATAGTAATCAGTGGAGATATGAAGTTCATCCCGATAAGTGTTCGTTTCTCGTCTTTAATAGTAAAATCGAGCTAGGTGCAACTCAAAAACTTAATATCGGAGGTAAATCAATTGCAAAATCTGACTTTGTGAAGCATGTCGGAATCCCAATTTCAACAAATAATGATATTTCTGATTATGTACAGGATAAATGTAAGAAGGGCAAATCGCAGTACAATGCTCTGCTCGGTATAGGTAGTGGCTGCGGAGGTCTAATTCCAACATCTGCATGTCAAATATACAAAACATATTCCATACCTACAATGACATACGGTGCCCATATTATCAACTATCAACAAAATGATATAGTTGTTCTAGAAAAGACACAACGAGAAATAGGACGGAGAATTCAATCTCTGCCTCACTCAGCTAGTATTCCCATCTCAACTTTGCCCCTGGGCCTAATGGACGTTGAATTTTATATTGACTTTTTAAGAATGATGTTTCTCTGGAGTTTATTGCAACTCCCGAGCGCAAATATATATAAATGTCTTTTCACAATGAGATTTGTAAAAATGCTGCATGTTAACAATGAATGTAATACCTTCTCTCCAATAAAATGCATGTTACTGACATCAAAAAGGTATGATTTACATAACCATGTTCTAAATATGGTAGACTGTAAAATGTTCATCCCCAAAAATAGGTGGAAGAATATTGTGTATAGAAAAATTGCAGCCGTTCAGATGCAAAGGACATTTTTCCAATCGCTAATGTACAAGGGCCTAAACTATTTTAGAATGGGTAACTTTGAAATTTTGAGGCCATTTATATGGTGGAGAGTCGCAAGACTGTTCCCTTTTGCTTTAAGTAGTTGTAAAATAATGGTGAAACTGCTAGCAGATGAACATGCGCTTAGATCAAAATATAGAGGTTCAGAAGATAAATCAGTTATATGCTCAATGTGCAGCACTTATGAAAAAGAAGACGTAGAGCATTTCTTACTTAAATGCCCAGCAAATATATATATTATTTATAGAGAACAACTTAGTAATCATTGCTGCGAATGGGGTATCCAAATGAACACTAAAAACATTCTTGGCATAGGAATTGAAGAGTTGCACTTTGCAAACGAACAACTACTTGTATTTTTAAAAGATATGGCACATATAGTTATGCAACAATATTTGTGTCGTCAACGTCACTTGACAAGTTTACAAACTTAATGTAACTTTATCAGCGTGAAAGGGTGGCCCTCAAGGGACGAACATGGGCCGACTAGGGATTTTCCCTTGATTAACGGTAATATGCAATATGTATTTATTCTGAGTGTACCGACCTTGGGGAAGGTACAATAATAAGCAATGCTTTATGTTTTTGTTTTTTTGTTTTTTTTTCTGTTTTTTCCTTGATTGGTAGTTGCAACGTCAACGCGGCAGCCTGACGTATTTGCAACAAACGATTATATCTCTTAACCAGCCTATACATTTTAGTTTTACTCGCATATTTGTATTTATATTTATGTACATTTATTATACACACTAATTTAGAATTGCACCATAGGGCAACACCACCTTTCTTCAATTTACAAAAATTGTATATTTCTTTTACTAGCTTACAAGATATTGAAAGCATCTCATACTTTCATACAGTACTGCAGTACCGACCTTGGGGAAGGTACGATGATACGCTATGTCTTCCTTTTAATTTTTATAGAAAACGCAGATCCATAATTAAATGTCATTTTTTTATTAATCTTAAGAGTGTTAGGTAACAGGTCTATCTAGGCCTACGGCGTGCGTCTACGCCGTAGCTAGGCGTCGTCGTCAGTACAAAAAACAACAACAAAACAATGAATGTTTGTAAAATATAGTCATTTTTTTATAATTGCGTTACAATTAGGTGCTAGGCCAATCTTGGTCGGCGGCGTGCGTCTACGCGGTAGCTAGGCGTCGTCGTCAGTCAAAACAACAGCAATATTGTTTGTTTGTAAATAGTGATTAGTTTCAATTTAACATTTACATAATTTGTATACATGTATCTCCTTTATATAAAGGGCAATAAATATATACATACATACATGTGGTTCTAATTGAACATTATGAGTCAACACAGGTATAGCCAGATAGGTGAGGCAAAAAGCCAGACGAGGCAATTGTATGCCTCACCAAAAAATCATAAAGAAATGTTTGTGCAGATGTTTCTCTGATAGAAATCGTAAAAATGTAGTGGGATTGATAATACTATAGGCTTTAGTATTATATTCCCCTATAAAAAGATCAATGGAGTTCAATGTATTTCCCACTATGCCACAACCATAGATATACCATGGATACAACACTTGTAGTTACAACCATGGTTAGATGTATGAGTGGTTGTTAAGGGTGGAAATGAACATTGATAACCACTGTATCGATTTTTAAAGACACCATTGTACATTATCCATTGAAACTACCATAGTTCTATGGTAGTTAACATTTATCTAACTTTTTAGACTGTCTTAAAAGTTTTTATGACTTTAAATAGATGTCTCTCAATTTCATTGTGTTTTAGGGATCTTTTGTCAAGTAAATTTTATGTTTTATTTTAAACAAATAAAAACGGAAAATCAGATGATAGACTTCAAGCATACCTTCAGTCTAGCATATTCCATATGTAAATGATAATGTTGAACAAGTCCTGTATCAACAGCACTATTTAATGAATAATGTATCTTTTTATTCTAATATTGTTTATATTTTTATCAATATTTTTGACAGGTTTTAGGACATCCATAATTTTCTGTTAGTTTGTTAATATTTATATCAAACCTATCAATTATAACCAGTTTGGGGCGGGCTTTGAAATGTTATGAAGAATATAACATTTTAAAAATGATGTCCTGGGCTTATAGTATACAATGAGAATTATATTCAAACAATCATGTCCATCATTGCAATTGTGGAACAACTCGTAGATCTACCATGGGCATAATGTTGTATATCTGAAAATATTAAAATGCTCATTTTGAAATTCATATCCCAACTGTAATCTAGAATATGAATTTGAACACATTGAGAATTATATTCAAACAACCACTACAACGGTAGATTCAAACAACCACTGTTTCTGCAACTGAAGAAACAATGGTAGATCTACTATAGGCATGATGTAATAGATCTGAAAATATAAGAATGCTCAAGTTTTAAGTCAAATCATAGCTGTTATCTAGAATATGAAATTGAACAATGAGAATTATATTCAAGCAACCACTGTTTCTGCAACTGTAGAAACAATGGTAGATCTATCGTAGGCATGCTGTAGTATATCTGAACATATAAAATACTCAGTTTTGAATTTTAATCATAACTGATATCTTGAATATGAAATTGAACAAGGAAAATTATGTTCAAACAACCACGTTTCTGCAACTGTAGAAACAGTGGTAGATCTACCATAGGCATAATGTAGTAGATCTGAAAATATGAAAATGCAAGATTTTAAATTCTAATCATAACTGATACCATAAAATATGCAATTGAATAAGGATAATTATATTCAAACTACCACTGTTTCTGCAACTGTAGAAACAATGGTAGATCTATCGTAGGCATGCTGTAGTATATCTGAACATATAAAATACTCAGTTTTGAATTTTAATCATAACTGATATCTTGAATATGAAATTGAACAAGGAAAATTATGTTCAAACAACCACGTTTCTGCAACTGTAGAAACAGTGGTAGATCTACCATAGGCATAATGTAGTAGATCTGAAAATATGAAAATGCAAGATTTTAAATTCTAATCATAACTGATACCATAAAATATGCAATTGAATAAGGATAATTATATTCAAACTACCACTGTTTCTGCTACAGTAGAAACAATGGTAGATCTACACAGCCAATATAATTCGACGCCGTTTCGGCATTGAAAAAATTCGGCACTGTTCCGGCACCGTTTCGACACCGTTCCGGCACCGAAACCTTTCAACACCAAAATTTGTTACCGGACTAGTCAGTCCATTTGGTGCCGAAACGGCACCGAAATTTGGCACCGAAACGGCGTCGAAAATCAGATTGCATTTTGGGGGTGTACTGTAGGCATGTTGTAGTATATCTAAAAATATAAAAATTCTCAATTTTAGATTATCGTCATAACTGATATCTAGAATATGAAATTGAACAATAAGAATTATATTCAAACTACCACTGTTTCTGCTACAGTAGAAACAATGGTAGACCTACTGTAGGCATGATGTAGTACATCTGACAATATAGAAATTCTCAATTTTAGATTAATTAGCATCATAACTGATATCTAGAATATGAAATTGAACAATGAGAACCAGAACAACGGCAACGCCAAAGCGTAGCGAATCCCATCGAACATTTTTCAAAAGGGGCACCTTCTACCAAAAGTGTCATTAGACAGTGTGCCATGCTTATAATATTCACATACCAAATATGAACAAAATCGCTCTACTATTTTTCAAGTTATAGTAAAATACGTTAAAATGCCTCAACTCAGTTTTTCCTTCTCTTTCTATTTAAATTTGCCTCACCTATTTTAGATCATGGCTATGCCCCTCAGGTCAGTGTCAAATCAGATATCATCCAATTTAAAACTTGTTAGTGAATATCTTTCAAAAATATTACATTGGAATGTGAATTTACCTTACAAGCATCAAATTGAACATCCACCCATCATAAAACATGTTTATGAATATCTTTCAAAAGAATTCTTTGAAATGTGAATATTACTCACATGTTTCCTAAGCCTTTTATGTTAACACAAAGTTAAGAATACTTTTAGCCAGTCTCACCGGTGTTCACATTAGATATATGTTTTATTGTATAGAGCTTGTCTTTTTATCCTTGGTAGTCATATATCTGAGAGTGAGTTTTAATCTTAATCTGGATCCCAGTCATTGATGAATCTATTCAGAATCAGAATCTAGTGTTATATCTGAGAGTTAATATTAAATAAGATATACCAGTCTTTAATCAATCTATATACTATCTTGGTGTTGTCCTTATGCAACCACTGTAGATCAAGCACTGAACCTATCTTGAGATCATCATTCCTCTGGAATGTATCTACCTGTTGTACTATGTCCAGCAAGGAATGAAGCATATCACCCTCTTTGATATCATCTGGTTTGAGGTCTTCCTGCAGCAACATGTCCCACCAGGATGTGTCAGTGGTGTGCTTCACATGCTGCATGATCCACAGTAGGGCAGCACATTCACCATAGTAGATTTTAAGTTCTATCATCCTCTTAGGGTAATTTATGTCTGGTACTTCCTTCTCCAGTCGATTATAATTGTATATATTGGTTTCAATCTCATCAATACATTGTTTCTCATGTGTGAAGAATTGATTCACTATGTCCTCAAGGCAATGTCCAACATTCTCATTCTGACAACCTCTTTGGTGATGGTGAAGCAGCATTTTGTATGAATATGAAGACGAATATGTTTTTATTTTGAGATTTGTTACAATCAGATGTTTGATATATTTGAATGTCAGAAATAAATAATGGTGATTTGTTGATAATGTGTGTGTATTTGCATCATCCTGAAGTCCTGGATGTATAAGTGCCTCAGTCCAGTGAGTATCATTATAATTATTACAATTATCACAGTTCACAAATGGCCCACCCACCATAACACACCTTCTCTGGGTAACACTCATATTCTCCACTGCAAAAGAGAGATCTATGTCTGTTGTGCAGAGAGGGGCACCAATACGTAACCATTCACTGGTTCCATGTGTTCCCCTATGTAGACTGATTGTTCCCAGTGGATATGGAGACTCTGGATCCTCATCATGATTTTTCACCCCAATGTACACATACTTGTCACTGTCACTCAGGTAGAATTCAATGGCCCATTGCAATGTTCTAAGAAAGCGTGTGTCCAGTTTACTTGAACCAGGTTGACTCTGGGGAATAGTCCCATGAGGTGATGATTTCTGAGATGATCTATTTGATCCACTCATACCAGGTTGATTCTCTACAAGTACAAGTTGTGGAAACAACTGATGCAGTTCACCATACTGTATATTGATGAAACCATAACCCTGTCCTGCCTTATTACACATCTTCCCCACCTCTTCCACATTGACTGCTGCATCACCCGACCACTCAAAGATTGGAATGTAGTCATATTCATTCGGTGATAATATCTTAGTCCCTTCATATGAACTGCCTCTTCTGACAATACGTAGTTTAGAAAATACATCACCAAGAAAATGCATTTTCTAAGATTTTGGGGCTCCCAGAGGGTAAATTAAAATTATGAATTTTACTTTTAGATTTTTATGAAACAAATTGCCTACATCATTATGTATGTTGTAATATTATACATTAATCAATAAGAGGTACTAAATTATTACTACTACACATTTAATTTTTAAATGTTATTATCGAATTCAAATATAAATCATCTATTTTAACTGAGCGAAGTATTGGATGATTGGAGGCAGTTTTGATCAAATTTGCAAAGGGTTAATTTTATTCTCACCTGTCTCAACAAAACAGGAATATCCCAGAATTCATACAGTCATACTTCTCTTATGTAAACTACAATTCCTAACCCATTGTAATTGAGGAGAAAAGCGTGGGAACATCTGATATGATCAGTTCCCATGACAGTGTGTCACCTGTCATTTCTCTGGAATGATGTACACTTTCCTCCAAAAGATTGAAAACAATTGTAGTACAGTAAAACCTGTATATCTGAACACTTGGCTAATCCGAACACCTCCCAATTTGAACATTTTTTGGTCCCGTTTTTCCTCCCATTGACTCAAATGTTAAAAAAAACTTGAAATATGAACACCTCCCAATTTGGACAGTGAACAGTCATGTTTGAAATATTAACCTATCTAATCTCAACACATAAAATATCACATGTTCCATACAAAATTGATCAAATATTTGAAAAAAACTTGAAAGATTTCACTCATGGTGGGGCTTTCTAGGATGACTAAATTCATTTGAATCAGATTTTCATGTCACTGTACCAGGCCTGTCAACTGTCCCGCAATTTGCGTATTTGTCACGCATTTGCTGAAGAATTTGAAGTCACGCCAGTTATTTTTGCGTGACAGAAAATGTCACGCAAATACGCATTTTACCTGGTAATTGTCAAGCAAAAATATTTCTGTAGAAAAATTTCTAAAAAAGATCGTCTACACAGCAAAAATATGAACGCCGGAAAAAAATGTACGCATTTTGTTCGGACTTTTCACGCGAATTACGTATATGTCACGCATTCCGTTTGAAATTTTTCGCACCTACCCCCCCCACCCGTTGACGGATGTTTGAAACGCGAGCGTAGCGAGCGCGAAAAATTTGGGGTGTTCAAAATTTGGCAAGATGTAATAAAATTTAAACCAAGGTGTTCAAAATTTGGATCAGGGTGTCCAGATTTGGACCAAGGTGTCCACATTTTGAGGGGAGGTGTTCAACATTTCCAAGTCACTCATGTTAGGTGTTCCCAAGTTGACAGGCCTGCTGTACTGCCATAAAGCTAAGTAGTCACATATCAAATATGAACAAAATCGCTCCACTACTTTTCAAGTTATAGCAAAAATTGTAAAATCGTGTGTAAAAGCCGCCATTTTTCAAGATGGCTGCCATGTGTTTCTTAAATATCTACATGTCTAGCTTAATTAATGTGCTATATAACTTTTTTACTTTTAAAACTCATTGCTATTACAGTTTTATATACTGTACCTAAATGACTGTAAAATCGTCACTAAAATGGCCGCCATTTTGACACGAGCGGCCATTTTGAAAATCGGCTATCGAGCAGAACTCCCATAGGGTATATGTGTCTACATGCATAAACTACGAAAAAAACACTTGGTGAAAAATGTGTATACCCTCTGGGAGCCCCAGCATGCATTTTTTTGGTGTTGTATTTTCTAAACTACCTGACAATACTGCTAGATTCAAGTACTGGATTAGGTTTTCCTTCATTGGACAAATCATCTTTAGGAATGTGCATTCCAAAACCTATACAGAAATCTTTCACAAACTTCTCAACATATTCAGAGTGTTCCTTCAGCTGCTCTGGTGTGTATCTGTTCTTGACATTAACTTTTGATGCAATATATTTCACAAATTCTGTTAAACGTTCTGCTCCTTCATAGGTAGAAGTTGGTATTTTGTAGTCTTTTAAAGTGTCATAGTCCTTAGGCTTAGGGAATGGTCCCGAGAACTCAATGTTTTGAATGGGTTTCTTTGAAGATTTTGGTAGATACTGTTTCAAGCTAAGTTGTGAAGCTGCCATTTTTGCAATTTCAGTGATTTTTTACTTCTATTTTGTTCTCTTGAGACTAACATTCTGGAGTAAATGGCTGGGTGTTTTAATATTTAAATGCTCAAAGTCTAAGTATGTGGTTCATAAAAATCAAAACATTTAAAAGAAAACCAAATAGTTCATTTTGCCATTCTCTGCATGAAAAAACTATAATAGACTGAAAGGTTCTATTCAAATAAATGCCACGCATAAAGGTTAAACCACTTTAATTAACATTGTACAACAAGGTACATGTACTCAATTTTGTGAATCTAGGTCTCTCTGAAGATTTAGATAGATACTGTTTCAAGCCAAGTTGTGAAGCTGCCATTTTTGTAATTTCAATGATTTTTTACTTTTATATTTTGTTCTTTACTAGTTCATTCATGTATATACATTATGTATGTTAAAATTGTCTTGAGTATAATATTGCATACAGAATAAGATTTTCTGTTTAAAAGTAAACAGTATCTTAGTCAGGCCTGTCAACTGTCCCGCAATTTGCGTATTTGTCACGCATTTGCTGAAGAATTTGAAGTCACGCCAGTTATTTTTGCGTGACATTTTCTGTATATACGCCAGGCCTGTCAACTTGGGAACACCTAACATGAGTGACTTGGAAATGTTGAACACCTCCCCTCAAAATGTGGACACCTTGGTCCAAATCTGAACACCTTGATCCAAATTTTGAACACCTTGGTTTAAATTTTACATCATCTTGCCAAATTTTGAACACCTCAATTTTTCGCGAAATGCGTACATTTTTTTCCGGCGTTCGTATTTTTGCTGTGTAGACGATCTTTTTTAGAAATTTTTCTACAGAAATATTTTTGCTTGACAATTACCAGGTAAAATGCGTATTTGCGTGACATTTTCTGTCACGCAAAAATAACTGGCGTGACTTCAAATTCTTCAGCAAATGCGTGACAAATACGCAAATTGCGGGACAGTTGACAGGCCTGATACGCATTTTACCTGGTAATTGTCAAGCAAAAATATTTCTGTAGAAAAATTTCTAAAAAAGATCGTCTACACAGCAAAAATACGAAGGCCGGAAAAAAAACGTACGCATTTCGTTCGGACTTTTCACGCGAATTACGTATATGTCACGCATTCCGTTCGAAATTTTTCGTACCGCGAAAAATTTGAGGTGTTCAAAATTTGGCAAGATGTCCTAAAATTTAAACCAAGGTGTTCAAAATTTGGATCAAGGTGTTCAGATTTGGACCAAGGTGTCCACATTTTGAGGGGAGGTGTTCAACATTTCCAAGTCACTCATGTTAGGTGTTCCCAAGTTGACAGGCCTGCTTCAGGCCTGTCAACTGTCCCGCAATTTGTGTATTTGTCACGCATTTGCTGAAGAATTTGAAGTCACGCCAGTTATTTTTGCGTGACAGAAAATGTCACGCAAATACGCATTTTACCTGGTAATTGTCAAGCAAAAATATTTCTGTAGAAAATTTTCTAAAAAAGATCGTCTACACAGCAAAAATACGAACGACGGGAAAAAACGTACGCATTTCGTTCGGACTTTTCACGCGAATTACGGATATGTCACGCATTCCGTTCGAAATATTTCGTACCTACCACCCCCCCCCCCCCCCCCCCCGTTGATGGATATTTGAAACGCGAGCGTAGCGAGTGCGAAAAGTTTGAGGTGTTCAAAATTTGGCAAGATGTAATAAAATTCAAACCAAGGTGTTCAAAATTTGGATTCAGGTGTTCAGATTTGGACCAAGGTGTCCACATTTTGAGGGGAGGTGTTCAACATTTCCAAGTCACTCATGTTAGGTGTTCCCAAGTTGACAGGCCTGCTGCTTAGTCTACTTGAGACTAACATTCTGGAGTAAAGCGCTGAGCATTTTTAATATTTAAATGCTGAAAGTCCAAGAATGTCATCAAAATCTAAACCTAAAAAAACAAATACAGGAGTAAAACCTGTCTGTGAGAAAGTTGAACACCTTTGGTACCTCCAAAAAGTCTTACAATTGCAGGCCTGTCAACTGTCCCGCATTTTGCGTATTTGTCACGCATTTGCTGAAGAATTTGAAGTCACGCCAGTTATTTTTGCGTGACAGAAAATGCCACGCAAATATGCATTTTACCTGGTAATTGTCAAGCAAAAATATTTCTGCAGAAAAATTTCTAAAAAAGATCGACTATACACAGCAAAAATACGAACGCCGGAAAAAAATGTAAGCATTTCGTTCGGACTTTTCACGCGAATTATGTATATGTCACGAATTCCATTCGAAATTTTTCATACCTACCCCCCCCCCCCCCCCCCCCCCCCCCGTTGACGGATGTTTGAAATGCGAGCGTAGCGAGCGCGAAAAATTTGAGGTGTTCAAAATTTGGCAAGATGTAATAAAATTTAAACCAAGGTGTTCAAAATTTGGATCAAGGTGTTCAGATTTGGACCAAGGTGTCCACATTTTGAGGGGAGGTGTTCAACATTTCCAAGTCACTCATGTTAGGTGTTCCCAAGTTGACAGGCCTGCAATTGGGAGGTGTTCCACATATAGAGGTTCATTATCCCACCGAATGAATTGTCGAGGGGGATATAGGAAAGCCGTCCATCCGTACGTTCATCCGTCTGTCTGTTTATCTGTCTGATAACTGAAATACTGGTTGACGGATTTGGTTAGGACATTAATAAAGGTTGAAATATAGATATTAAAGAAGCACTTGGCAGCCATCTTGAAAAATGGCGGCCTTTACTCGTTATTTTCGAATTTTGCTGTAACTCGAAAAGTAGTGGAGCGATTTTGTTCACATTTGCAGGGCTGTCAACTTGGGACCACCTAATATGAGTGACTTCAAAATGTTGGACACCTAAGTCCAAATCTGAACACTTTTGTCCAAATTTTGAACACCTTTAGCCAACTTTTAAACACCTTTGGCCAAAGTTTGAGCACCTTTGCCAAACTTTGAACACCTCAAATTTTTCGCGCTCGCGATGTCGTCAACGGGGGGGGGGGGGGGGGGGGGGGAGGTACGAAAAATTTCCAATGAACATGCGTGACACATACGAGATTCGCGTGAAAAATCCGAACAATTTGCGTTCGGTTTTTTCCGGCGTTCGTATTTTTACCATATCGTAAACATATTTCGAAAAAATTTCTACAGAAATATTTTTGCGTGACAATTACCAGGTAAAATGCGTATTTTGCGTGACATTTTCTGTCACGCAAAAAAAACTGGCGTGACTTCAAATTCTTCAGCAAATGCGTGACAAATACGCAAATTGCGGGACAGTTGACAGGCCTGCATTTGGTATGTGAATACTATAAGCATGGCACACTGTCTAATGACACTTTTGGTGTGGCCATTTTCAAAAATGGCTGCCATTTTTGCTATATACATGTACTTTGTTTGTGAAAATGCCAGCCATGGCTGTTCGATGGGATTTGCTACGCTTTGGCATTACTGTTGTCTAGTTTTCTAATTTTTCATATTGATCACTTATGTTTTTTATTTTGCATTTCAAACAAACCAGGCATCCTCATTCACTTATGATACACTTGATTCTGTGGAGTGCTACAGGCGCTAATTGTAACAATATGTATAACCTTGATTGTGATTGTAATGCACGATGCATATTAAATTGACATGCCTGACTGAATCTTCATTTTTAGCCCATAATTCTCCACTTTGAGAATATAAGTAATGTTTGTTCATTTGCAGTCAAAACTACTCCTCTCATGGTTGCTATGCCAACTCCAAGCTAGCTGTTATACTTGGTAGCTATTGGCTGTCCAGGATGATGTCACGCTCATCACATGATGTCACAATTAGCACTCTTCATCCAGGTGTCGTGGATACTGAGCTTTATAAAAATCAACACTCATTCCTAAGGCCATTTTTTCTGTTGCTACGGAAATGGATGTTCAAGGTTTGTTGTTGGCTGTATTAAGATTACTCATTTTAGTTCAGAAGAAATAAAAATTGTGAAAAAAGAATATTTAAATGCAAAATATATGAAATGCTGAGTTTGTAATAAGATAAATAATTCTGCCACAAGTGTAGACATGTCAGGAGCATTAACCAGCAATTGTCAATGGGGTGTGATTTTTGAGGTCTGCATCAATGCTAGAAGCAAACTCCCAAAAAGGGGGTAATTGGTGTTTATTCAGAGAAATTTTTGAAAAGAGCATGTAATTGTTATCATAAACAATTTCAAATCATTCAAACTTGAATTACGATCGTTAACTCAGGTTAATCTTTTAGACCCATTCATTATCTTCAAGAAAAGTATATGTATAGTGATAATATTCCAGATGAACAAAATTGGTCAAAAATTGGAATATTTCACCCATGTTTTTGCTTTTGCAATTGTTTGGCAAAGGTAAAACCTAAGAGAATTTGGACTTTAGTAAAGGATTGGTATCGATATGGAGAACTGAATTCAAAAATGTTTTTCTCTTAAACCAATCATTGAAAATGTTATGTAATGTTGACTGATTGACAACAACTTAATGCGAAAATTATTTAGAAATATTTTATTTTACTGTTTTTGTTAACATTTTTGTTTTTTTAGTGCAATTGTTTTTGCTCCTTTCTATCAATTCTTGAGAATGAAATAAAATGTCTTTCCGAACCTTGTTGGAACAAAATGGCATATACAACATATTTTTAGACCCCTCAATATTATAGTTATACGTACAAAGGAATTTTGGGTTGTTTTTAAAAAAGTATTCAAAAAATTAAAACAAAATCCCCCAAAAAGATAAAAATCAAGATAAACCTTTTATTTCATTAACAAGATACTTTTTTAAAATCAACCAAAATTTCCTTTGTACAATTACAGCATTGAAAGACCTAAACATGTTGTGTTTATTTCGTTTTGTTCCAATGGGGTTCGGAAAGATGTTTCATTTCACTCTGGAAACATGATACCAAGAACAAAACAAGTGTTTGATGTGTTTTCTAAAACAATATAGATGAAAGTATATATATATTTTTCAAATTATATTGCTACCATTCAAAAGATGACCATTAAATTGACGATGTGTTAAATTTTTTTATGACTGGTTTAAGAGAAACGTGTGTTCAAAAAGTTCTCCATATCAATGCCGCTCCTTTGAAGATTCTAGCAAACTGGCAAAAATTGATTATCTAGATTGGACCAAAATTAAATCAAATTTGGCAAAATTTAAGCACATTTGACAGAGATTAGGCAAATTTGGAAAAGTTTTCACAAAACTCACCATAAGGTGGCACCAAAATCTGGCTACGCCACTGAACATCTAACATAAAGAATTGAAATATTGAATGTCTATATCCACATGTTCAGAAATTTTAATGGCCTCCTAACTGGAGACCATTGCTTTTTTTCAGGTACACATAGCTGAATCAATACATGCTCTATGTATTTCACTAAATATTCTAGCTATGGATTAAGTGACCTAAAAAAATTTATTTAAAAAGTTGGTCACTTAACTTTCTATAATATATTTGCAGAAAATGATAACCCCTCAATTAAAAAACTAGGTACAATAATAAATTCTTTGCATTAAACTGAAAGATGTACACCAAATATGGCATCAGTTATGTGTACCTGAAAATAACATGTGACTCCAATTAGGTAGCCATTAACATTTCTAAACATATGGAGCTACCTTAAGCCTAAAACCCCATGAAGACACATTCTAAGATCTTGCACTGATGTGGGATGTGTGCTGCCATCTTTACATCTCAAGAAGTGAGAATGATAGGGGCACCATACTGCCATAGGCTTAATGCAAATGTTCAATGTAAAATATCAATCTTTTTATACTTTAATTTTACTTTGATTGCAAATCTTGTAAATGAGAAAATATTTCTTATTCCAGTCACCAAGACAAGGTGCTGATACTGTTCTCTTCGCTGCTTTATCTCCATCCACACAACATACTGGTATCTGTTACTATGACAACTGTCAAAAAGTGCCATCTAGTGAGCAGTCGTTCAACATTGACTTGCAGGAACAATTATGGAGCCTAACTTGGGAGCATTTATCAATACTAAATAAAGTGAGAGATTCCATAAATCTGGACATTTTAAAACCATCCATAGACTTTTCATAGAGTGCTCTTATAAGGGATTGACAGGTCACATGTGTTACATTAAAGGAGGATAAGCGACCTTCCCATTCTCTCAGGCTGGATTTTCCCAAAAGCTGCAGTGATTTATATGTTATGACATACCTAGATTTTTTGAAAATTTGACTCAATTTTAGAAAGTATCCTGAATCTTGGAAAAAGCCATGATTTGGTTTAGCACACTGGCTGACATTTTTTGCAAAGATCGGGCTAGATTAACATTTAGATATTGATATTTTCCCTTCATCCACCCAGATCTACCCCTGTGGACCGATTCCTACTGTATGTACGTACTAAGGTCTAGAAGCAATGTAGAATAGGCAGTTCCAGAAAATCATGCTAAATATTGATATTTCAATACAAAAGATTTACTCAGAAATTCATCCAGCTAACATACCTGTAATCAGGTAATGATTATACATTATTATCTTTATTATATATTATTGTATATCCTGGTTCTTGGTTTAGCAAAAATGAGTTACTGTTTATTGGAAAAGTCTATTCTGTTTGATGCTGAGAAGAAAACACAATATACAGATATACAGTAGTAGAAGAATCTTTATTTAAGCAGTTTGTGCTCTAATTGCTTCACAGTCATACATGTAATTCTTCAAAATTAGGTTCATAAAGTATTATGCAAATATGTATATTTGTGAGGAGATGCAAATAAAATACAGTATATTATAGTAAGTAGCAATATATTTTATAGACTGATATTACATGTACATGTATATATATATAGGTTATTTCCCGTGGAATAGAATTCATATTGAAAATCAAGCATGAAATAACCTTTTTATTCCATAATTTAATTTTTGAGAATTCAAGGAAAAAGATATTTCAAGAAAATTGAAAAATTGAAATTTTTTGGAAAAAATGAAAAACTGATTCAAAATAGATTTTTTTAAACAAATGAAAATCTTTGAAAAATTGCAATTTTTTGAAAATTTTTGAATTTTTTTTTCGAAAATTGGAAAAAATTGGAAAATCAAATTTTTTTGAAAAAAATGATTTTTTTGAAAAAATAGGGACAATATGATTTTTTTTCCAGGGACAATATGATTTTTCGAGTATATATGATTTTTTTACAGGGACAATATGATTTTTCGAGTATATATGATTTAAAGAGGGATAATATGATTTTATTTCCCCGGGAAAACAGTAGTATTATGGAATAAATATTTATCTTCCTTAGAAACCAGGAGAAAAATTCAAATTAATAATTTTATGTTCAAAATAATTAATGGACCAGTTCCAGTATATATTGATGAAATTTTTGAGAAATTCTGTAACCCTAGGGGTTGTGATGAACACCATGAATTTTGATTACCTGTCCGATGCTCAGAAACCTTTCGCAAGTCTGCTGTTTGCTGCTATTGTTAGCTGGCTTAGCCTTCCAAATGAAATCAAACTTTGTAAAACAGACTGTAAACCTTCAAACAGAAACAAAAACTACTTTTCACGGATCAACCTCAAATTATAACTACAAGCCAACTTAACATCACAAGAAGACATGAAATTATCATTTTAATCAAATCGTCTTAGAGCTGATCTCCTGTTTAAAGCCCAGATATATGCTAACAACTTCAATTTTATTGATACTCCTCACTGTATTATGTGGATTTCCTCAAACTTTGAAACATGTTTTCTTTCACTGCCCACTTTGAACTGCAGCAAGAGAAAAATTATTTAGAGATATCTCAGTAATAGCAGAAATTGAATATAGAACTCATAATGATTACCTGAATTCATTAAGGCATGGATGTAGTGACTTATCTTATGATCAAAACTCAATCATTATAACAACTGTTGCCAATTTTCTTGATACCAACAATCTGGCTCTCAAATAGATAACCTAAAGAGTTCTGAGCCAGCTTCCAGACCCGATATCACCCAAGAACCAGGGAATCCATGTGCCTGACCAGTACACATTTGCTGTGTATTATCCTATTTTTTTTTCATTTATTTTGCTCCTCTACAATGCTGAAACGCGATTGAGGAGCAAGTTTTGTAATATATTATATTGATTTAAATAAATTGAATAAATAAATTTTAAAAAAAATCAAATATTACATGGATATGTAATCTGGATGTCCATTGGCTAACTTTTAACAGTCACATGAAATGAAATGGATAAACTACATAATTCCCTGAATAATTTTAAATCTCTGGCTTGATGAATAGAATCCCCCTGTTTAACAATGTTTGACATTGTTGGAGATTATAAGAATATGTCAACATAAGAATGATAAAAGCAGATACTACTAGTATAATGTCCCAATAAAACAGGACCTAAAGGAAAAGTTGATTAACACGGTTATACTTCATTTGCTTGTGCATAGAGAGGAAAGGTGCCCACTCGGAGCACTGTAAATTTTGTCTCAATAAGCAATACTGACCAAACTTCCACAACAAAATTCCCACTGAATGGACTAAATAATTCTGAAAACTAGAGGCAGAATATGCTAGATTCAACGAGTTAATCTGCAACTTTTCTTCAGGCCTGTTTTTTGACACCCTGTATATATAAGGGTTATGTACTGGGAGGTTTTGGATATGGGGTCTATCCAGAGGGAGATATGCATATAACCGTAGGGACTGAAGGTAGATGTGCATATCTCACGAGGGACGAACCCAATATCCAAACCGACTGTACATAACTGCTTTATCCTACACCAAGTAGAGTTTTCAGAGGCATATGGCCATTTCAATAGTACAAGGTGTAAAAATAAACAAATCATCCATATGCAAAGTCATTTTATTGCATTACAGGAAGTGGGAAGATATGCACCGGAAGCGGGAAGATATGCACCGAAGCGAGAGATATGGCGGGAGATATGGAGGTTCTGGATATGGAAACCTCAAAATCAGGATATGGGATATATCTTAACAACTTATCTCCATAAAACTCTACTTGGCATAGGATACATGTATATCAAAGAAAATGATAAAAGCATGTGAGTACATATATGTGTATATAATAATTAAGATAAATATAAAATACTATAAAATACATGTATAAAATATATAATAATATACAGTAGTTTGGAATGAAAATCTAGCAACTGAATTCACATCTCTAATGCTAGCTTAATATCACCATGTGTGTTAAGGTCAGGGTGCACTTATTTCATGACCATGTGCTATTTTCAGATAAACAATGTTTATTAACTCATTCCACACATCATCTTTCTGAGTGGTCCACAACTCGTACAAAAGGCTGTGGTGTGTACTTGCACTGGTATATCTATGTATGGGTGCACATAAAAGAACACAGGTCTCCTTTGAGGAGGGGTTTCTGGCTAATTACCTTAATTACGACCGTATATATATGGGATATACCCAAGAGGTATTGCTCACCTTTATTGGTGGTAAACAATAAACAATACAATACAATCTACATCTTTCATTCTTGCACAAAAGATGCAATAGTGTACCCAGACTATTAATTGGGGGTTGATACTTCTTCAGAATGTTTGAATAAGTAGAATATTCACGTGGTTTAATTTCCAAAATTGGGCGATCACTGCACTACATTTGGATTTTTATTAGTTATAGGGTGTACACTATTTAAATCAAAACCTAGTCTTATGTCTACATTAAATGCATGTAGAGCTCCTTTTCTTTAAGTAAGGCCTCTTCAGTGTCAGGAATGTCAACGTCCACAAAATTCATCTCACCAATCTCTTTCACCTCTTTGAACCAGCGTACGAATTGATTTCCTAAGGCATCACAGATTACCTCATCATCCTCTAGTGCTTTGATACCCTCCTTCAGTGTTTTAGGGAGCAAGACTGCATCTTCGTTATTCTCCTGGGGTAGTGACATTTTGTTTTTTACTCCATCAAGACCAGCTGCAATGTTTGCCGCCATTATGAGGTATGGGTTACCCAAACCACCGCTCATGCGGTTCTCAAAATAAGTCCCATTTTCATCTTTGTTCTTAACCCTGAGGGTATTCATGCGATTCTGGATGCCCCAGTCTGCCTTGGTAGCTGCCCAAGGAGTGCCCACACGCCTAAAACAGTTCACAGTGGAGGCATGGAGAACTGTGATAGCTCGTGCATGATGTATGATTCCCCCAATCCATTGCTGGGCAAACTCGGAGAGATTATACTTCTGGGTAGGATCATACAATATGTTTCTGTCATCTTTGTTGTACAATGAATAGTTAAAATGCAAACCATTGCCAACCTCAGGCCCAGCCTTTGTAATGAATGTTGCAAAGTGATCATTGGTCTGACAGATTTCTTTTATACCTGCTTTGGCATTAAATACATTGTCGGCTCCCTGGATCCCAAGCATAGGTTTCATAACCAGTTCAAACTGACCACCAGTGTACTCAGTCTGCAGTGTTTCGAGGTCAACACCCGCTTTGTATAGACGTTGTTCAATATCGTAGATAAGCCGCTGAGATGAAGCGAATACACTATGGACACAAATGTCCCTTCCTGAGAAAACAGGGGTTGTACGATCTTTCTCAAACATAAGGAATTCTAACTCACATGAAGATTTCACTGATAAACCCATATCATCCAGACGTTGTAGTTGTTGCCGTGCAACATACCGTGGTGATGCAGATTGGTATGTACCATCTTCATACCAATGTGGTTCACAAATGACTTCACCCGTGATGACCTCACTGTTATCAAATGGTACAAGATGGAAAGTATTTGGCTCTGGTATCAATTGAACGTTACCATGGTTTGTATCCTTGACTTCTTGAAAAAATGTTATCTCTCCATTAGGCCCAATCCCCAGTATTCCTCCATAGATGCCGACTCCTTGTTTTGCCATGGATAAAAGGTTTCTTCTTGGAACTACTTTTCCTCGTGCAATGCCATTCATGTCTGCCACAGTGAAGCGGATGTAGTCACATTGTGAGGCTTTCCTCTCTAAATCTTCAAGAACTTTCTTGCTGCAACTAGCCATGGTGCTTATAAGACGACCTGGAATAAAAAATAATATGCATATGTACTTTTATTGTTTGAAATAATCTTGACCTGTTTTACTTAATCATTTTAAACATGCAATCCTTGCATACTGATCCAACCATTTAATCCCTACATAGTAATCAACCATGCAATCTCTTCATACTAAATCAACCATGCAATCCCTGCATACAGATCCAACCATGCAACCCTAAATAGTGATCAAACAATACAATCCCTATATACTGAATCAACCATGCAATCCCTTCATACTGATCCAAACACCAAATCAACCATACAATCCCTGCACATTGATCTGACCATGCAATCCCTACATACTGACTAAACCATTCAATCACAGCATAATGATCCAACCATACAATTCCTTCATACTGATCAAACCATGCAATTCCTACATACTGAATTAACATGCAATCCCAGCATACTGTTGCGTTCTAACCATGTAATCCCTCCATAGTGATCCAACCAAGCAATCCTTGCATACTGATCCAAGCATGCAAGCAATCCATGCATACTGATCCACCAATGCAATCTCTTGAAGTTAATACTGAATCAAACATGCAATCATTGCATACTGATCCAACCATGCAAGACCTGTTAAGTGATCCAACCATACAATCCTTGCATACTGAACCAACCATGCAATCCTTGCATACTGATCCAACCATGAAATACCTGCATAATGATCCAACCATGCAACCCTTGCACAATGACCCAACCATGTAATACTTGCATAATAAAAATCAACCATGCAAACCCTACATACTGATGAGACCATGCAATCTCTTCATGCTGATCAAACCATGTGATTCCAAAATACTGAACCAGCCATGCAATACCTGCATAGTGATCCAACTATGCAATCCTTGCATACTGAATTAACTCAGCTCAGTAGAGTAAGTTCCAACCATATGGCAATCCCTGCATACTGATCAAACCACATTCTGATACTCATAACATCTTTCTGTTTCTGTTTCATCTGAAACATTCTCTGATACAGTGGCGTAGCCAGGATTTGTCAAGGGGGTTCTAATATTTCCCTCCCAAAATTGTTTCGAATATGTCTACTGGTGAATTTAGTGAAATTTTGCCAAATTTACTCAAATTTTACCAAATTTAATCAAAGAATGGGTATCGATATGGCGATCTTTTTGAACACACGTTTCTCTTAAACCAGTCATCAAAAATTTCTGAAAATCTTACAAATTGTCAATTTAATGGCCATCTTTTGAATGGTAACAATATAATTTGAAATAGATATACATAGTTTCATCTATATTGTTTTAAAAAACACATCAAACACTTGTTTTGTTCTTGGTATCATGTTTCCAGAGTGAAATGAAACATCTTTCCGAACCTCATTGGAACAAAACGACATAAACACAACATGTTTAGGTCTCTCAATATTGTAATTGTACAAAGGAAATGTTGGTTGATTTTAAAAAAGTATCTTGTTAATGAAATAAAAGGTTTTCTTGATTTTTATCTATTTAAGGGGGATTTTGTTTTAATTTTTTGAATACTTTTTTAAAATCAACCAAAAATTCCTTTGTATAACTTTAATATTGAGAGATCTAAAAACATGTTGTACATGCTATTTTGTTCCAACAAGGTTCGGAAAGACATTTTATTTCATTCTCAAAAAACAATTGCACTAAAAAAACAAAAAATGTTACCAAAAACAGTTATATAAAATATTTCTAAATAATTTTTGCATTTAATTGTTGTCAATCAGTCAACATTACATAAAATGCCATGTCTTTTTACAGAATGTTTTCAATGATTGGTTTAAGAGAAAAACATTGTTGAATTCAGTACTTTAGTAAGCATACGATAGTATGAGGCAAACTCTGTGATCGTAGATTGTGTAACGACCCTTGATAGCAAGTTGTTAGCTGTAGTGGCTTAAGTCTTTATAGCTCAGTCGGTAGAGCATCAGTCTTTGGATCCCTTGGGTCATTACATTGGTGTCAGATGTGGGATCAAAGCATTGGTTGTATTGTTTGCGCCCGTGTGTGTGTGGTAGTCACTGCTAGGAAAGCAGGGCTTTGAAAGGGGGAGATAGTGTAACAACCCTTGATAACAAGTTGCTACTACGGCCCTGCTGTAGTGGCTTAAGCCTTTATAGCTCGGTAGAGCATCAGTCTTTAGATCCAAGGGTCCTAGGTTCAATTCCCACACGGTGCATTGAATTTAGCACACTTTCTTTCAATTTCTCTGGCTTGTTACACTATGCTCGTTAGTTAGTAATTACTCTGGGGCACCCTCGGGTCATTACAATTGTATCAAAAGTAATAGCATCTCAAAACCGTAAAATTTTCTAGGGGGAGTGGACCACTCCTCACAACCACCACAAAACAATTTGAAATTGCATGCATTTGTTAATTCCAAACCAATATAGGGAGTAACTGATCCCCCCCCCCACCCCTCTGTCTTACGCGATTTGATTTACGCGACAAAAAAATGACAATTTTATATTCTCTTTAGTAGACTAAGCTAAAAACCGCACCCCCTTGGAGAAAAGCCCGGAGAAAAGTGTCTTACGGGCCTGAATAACGGCCAATATTATCATCTACCTAATGTCAATGCATTAAAAATCAAACATCAAAGCTTTAATAGCTTTAATGGGCAATAGGCATTGTATTTCCTGCATACATTCAACTGGATAACCTTACCTGTAATTTTAACGTGCCCTAGATCTAGTTCATTGACCTGTCGACTGTCCTGATTCAAGGTTAGATTACTAGAATTAAAGTCCGATTCCGCACTGATGCACTGTTGAAAAGAGAATACTGTTGAAAATAAGGAATGAAATACACTCCAGCTGTACACACCAAGATACCTGCCGCTGTCCAAGAACTCCAGAACCGCGGGATTACGAATAAGTATGGCATATCATGTGACCAGTCATGTGACTTGAAAGAAGCTTATGTATATCACGTGATAAATTTAAAATGGACGTCATCGAAGTTTCACCCAAAACAGCTCTCGTTTCAAGCCTTATTTTTGGAGGTGTCATCAAGTATGCAGCTCTTAATTGGATATCCTCTCGCAGACAAATGGTACTAGAACGAGTAGGAAAAGTGTCAGCACTTTATTTCTACCCTGTGAAGAGTTTGAACGGGTTGAAAGTAAAGGAAGGATTTTGCTCAAAGACCGGTTTGGAAGTACAAGGGCAAATTGACAGGTTGTAAACAGGATCAAAGTGTATACACAGGAACCAGTATCAACACCTGACATCTAGATCTATTGCCAAAACTGAAATAGAATGATTGCCAAACCTGAAATAGAATGAGCTAATTACCGGGGTATTACTCTTCCAGGTTGGGCCACCAATCGATGTCAGGTGTTGGTACAAGTTCCTGTGAGTGTATATACTTTTTAAGGTGCTATGGAAGTTAAGGTGCTATGGAAGTTAACAGGAAATGACAAAACAAAAAATGTCAAAACCATACTGGATTCTGAGTTCTCTTTGGACCTTCCGAACTGAAAGTCACATTTTCAAAACAAATTTATTTAAAGATTTTAATTTTAAGAGGATAAACAATTTTCGAAAAGAAGTACCTACACGTAGATTTCAAATATGACATCAGTTTGACTAAATTTTGAATACTTAATGACGTAAATCAAGATTATTTCTACTCGCACCGAGCCAAAGATTTTTTGGGATGCCAGAAATAAAATGTGATTCTCAAGTGGCTTTTCATTATATATTATTTGTGATTTCAGACATTGGATGATAATAGATGAGAAAAAAGTCTCTCTAACTCAAAGAACTGACCCTAAGATGGTGCTGATCACACCTAGTTTCCATGACAATAGTCTCCATCTTGATGCTCCAAACATGGTTACAATTAAAGTATCATTTGATGATGTATCCAAGAACAGTGCCAACCCTGTAGAATGCAAGTATGCGTATAAACTTATCATTTGCATGTGTGTGTAACTTGACCCAAAAGTGCATTAATATTTAAATCTAGTAAGTTTAAATCTGCTACTATACCTACATGTACAGATGTATAGATCATTTTTGTAGGCCTACTAGATGGCAATTAGATATTGATTTTCCAAATACTAGTAGATCCTCACAAAAATAAATAAGCTACAGACAGCAACAAACAAATATACTTTCAGAAATAATCATACAGCATTTTCAAAAATTCTTCCAACTGAATATTTCTCAATTAAATTTTCAAAATGATTGTTTTTATGCAATTAATTTTAACCCAGTTTTTAATATCACTATATATGAATTCTGATGGATAATTTGACCCACCCTTAAATGTGCTTATATAAGACAAATGTTGAAATTGTTATATCAAGCCAAAATGTCACATTTTTTTGTCACCACCACTAGGCACAAGAGGTGACATATTGTTATAGCCTCCAACTTTTTTTTTGTTGATGGTGTTAGGCAGTTAGCTTTTGGTGTCTGTAACATATGGCAGGTGGTGACGTTTTGCATGTTAATGCCTTGTAATTTTAATTGTTACATGGCGCCAAAATGTCACATACCTTTTTTTTAAGATGTCGTGAGGTTCCTATGACAGGAGTTGACTGTGGAGATGAGGTAGCAGAATGGCTAACCAAAGTAATAGGGAAGGCTAACCTCAGACTGGTCTACTCTGGCCCAGGCCTGAAGAAACGTGATGTTCTAGAACGTGCCAAGAATGTAACACTAGCAAAATCTGGAAACTTGGTAAGAGTTATCAAAAGATCAATTTTGTTTTTGGGTACTTAACCAACAACGTTTTGGGCTATTAGGGGGCAGGGAAAACATTAACTGGAAAATCCATGGTATATACTTTATTGACATAAAGGAACACTATTTAAGAACATCTTATCCTTATTTATCCATACGAGTTCCATTAAAACAATTGCAAAATTAAAGAAGGTGGATTTTTTTTTATATATATTACTTACATTCATGTCTGCTTACAACTTACCTAACTAAATGTTTCAGTTGTTTTACTGAATTTCATGTATTTTATGTGAAGAGAAACAAAAACACAAGAGATGGAACATTATCACTAATTTCTTGTAGTCGTAGGCTCGTAGCAGCATTTAAAAGAACCTTGTCAAAAAAACCTTTAAATGATGACATGACACTTAAGTTTGTCGCAAACTTTCATATAATAGTTTAATAACTCCTGCGCCTTTTGTTTTAAGGTAGCCTACCCTGACTACACACCATATCACCTAGCAACAGATGATTCTCTAGCAGACCTTAACAACAAAGCCCAGCATCCTGTTGCTATGGACAACTTCAGAGCAAACATCATTGTTAAAGCGACAGACCCATTTGAGGAGGTACAGTATGTGTGTGATTTGCGTTATAAGTAAATCTGGATGGGTGATGAGCATATAAATGATTGTCCCTATTACCCATGATCAGTGAAACGGGTAGTCAAGCACATGTTGTTCAATCTTGAGTACTGGTGTTAGGCATTCAGCATTCGGCGTCTGTAACGATTTCTTACAACTTCCAATTATAACTGGTGGTGACATTTTGTCATGTTAATGCCAAGTTAATGATTATTGCAAATGTTTTAGGATTATTGGAGAGAAGTACGGATTGGTGAGGCAACATTCCAAAATGTGAGGCTGACCACAAGGTGAACCTCTTATAATCTTACCAAAGCGTAGCACAATATTGAACATCTATATGAATGTCAGACAACACTGCCGGAAATCATTTCTAAAATACCCACCTGATAAAATGTGTCATTCTTGCATGTATTTTCATACAATCCATATTTTTTATATTAATATTAATTTCATTAAATAAGGTCATATTGAACAAATATTTCACTCTATTGAGGTGAATACCTGTACATCTTTCACAAGTGATATTCCCAGATCTCGAAGGGCAAGTGGAATATCACCTTGTGAAAGTGCTACAGGTATTCACCGAAAATAGAGTGAAATATTTGTTTTATTATATCACTGTCTAGCTAAACATCCCTAATATTATTAAGTCATAGGTTAACATTGAAATACATATTTCTACTCGGTTCGTCTGCCATTTTTACTTACATTAACTAAATTATTTACACTGAACGAAAACAAATTCTTTGAAAATTCCCGGGAGCGTGGGATATCGCTAGATATCTCACGGTTGTCTTATCTGATTAGCATTGCCATTGAATATCGCCAGATATCCCACGACATGTGACCCACTTTTGACCAATCATACTGTCGCTAGCTAGATAGTGATATAATAGTATCAGATATCAGGGTAACATATTGTGTTAATCATAAATGTCCTCTTGAATATGTGACCCCACCCAGCCCTGCAGGGGGTTCAAGAAACTCAAAATCATTCAGTATTTGACCAGTGCAACTCTGTTTTGAATAATTCCAGGTGTAAATTGACCCAGATTGATCCAAAGAATGGAGAACCAGACAATGTAACTAAGGACCCCATAAACACACTACGAAAGTAAGTCACATGACCAATCCTTGGGTACATGTACACTGTAAAACCAGTCAAAGTGGTACCTTATATAGGTATGTACCTTTGAAGTGTTCCACTAGGGAGGTATTCTACTTATAGGTTCATTTATTTCAAGTCAGTTGGCCTTGGATCATGTTCCACTAAAAATGTCTGTTTCTTTGACATCCACATTTGGTAGGGCTCTTGCTAGGCTTTAAGACTACTAAACCAACAACTTAACACAGTCCAATTAATTGGTGTCACATTCTGGTACTCTTTGCATCTCTTTTCTTACAACAGATATGCTCTTATTCAAGAAACCCATTTAGCTGATTCAAGAGATAGCCTGACCACATTTGATTTCTCAACAGTTTCTCCACAGTAATACATTTATTAGGGGCCATAAAGCAACTTTGCCCATCTGTGTAAATATTTTACTCAGTTATGATATTAACCTTTTATTATAAGTGAATGTTTTGCCGTGATCTGTTTTTTCTTTACAACATATTTATTGATTCGAGTATTTACTGCCTCTTCTCATCTTAGCCATTTCATCATTAGTAGTGATCTCCACAGGATTTTTCTCAAGTAGGAGCTAAATTCTCATTTTCACAATTCAGACCAAACTGGTCAAAATATGCTCATTTTTCATGATTTTTCTCATTTTCAAGTGGGTGCAAATGGATTTTCAGGTGGGTGCAATTCTGTTTTTAAAATCTCAGGTGGGTGTTGCACCCACTTGCTTTAATGCTGGGGAGATCACTGATTACCTTAACATTATTTGCAAGTATTTGTTGGTGTGGTGTCAAAAAGAATTATTTTCGAGGGTGTTATGCATTCTTATATATATCTACTCAGATATGGGTCCTCAATGTCTAAATCAGAAGTAGATAACCTCATGGATGAGAGGTCAGCTTTAATGGAGATGAAATGAGTATCAGAATGACCGAACTACCTAATTACAGGTGGCATCAGAGTTACTGAATCTGACAATTCATTTGTAATTTAATCAATCTCCTGTATATTTTAGGTACCGACGATTTAAAGAACTAGGAGATTCGCCTTGTTTTGGGATAAATCTGACAATCAATCAAACTGGACCAATCGAAGTTGGTGATGAAGTGTTCGCAACGCGTCATACATTACGGGCTTGCTGTGAATCATAAACTGAATTTGAAACATTGAGTGCTCAAATATGTATTGGAATTTTTTTGTTCCCTCAAAGTAAACCCTTTTCATTGTCACCACAACAAGTGGTAACATATTGTTATGGTCTCCAACTTTTTTATGACAGCATTCAGCGGTTGGTGTCTGTAACAAATGTAGCAAATGGCAGGCGGTGACATTGTGCATGTTAATGCCTTGTTTTTTAATCCAATTTTGCTCCTTCAAATTAAATGTGTTGTTTGCTTGAGCATGACCCGGTTCTTAAAATGCTTGGAAATAGCCAATCTGTGATTGACAATCATGTACAGTATATACAATAATTTTTCACTTATTTTTTGAAAATCTTATTTAGTGTAGTATTTTCATCACTCAAAAGTGAGATTCATCTGACATATATTTTACAGAGATTTTTGTATAAAGAGATTTAAAACACATGTATTTTTAAAATATATATTCAGTGATAATTGCAGGTCAGAGATATTTACTATATTTTATACAGCCATGTTTGATATCAAATGGTATAATAAATAAATTAAAAACAAATAAATCACTAATTATTATATTTTAATGTTTTTTATTTTTATTTATCCTCATAGATGTCTATGTACACGTTACATTACCTTGTGTAACAAAAGAATAGAAGAAACACAAGTCAATCCGTCTTGAACAGTTGAATTCAATAACAATGTCTCCCAGTGAATATGGCACATCAAGTCATCAAGAAATATGTAAGCACATTGCCATACTTATATGCAAGTCAACAATAAAGTCGCATAAAGCAAGAAGTCATTGAATGAATGAGATACAGTTATACTGACATACAAGGAACTTCCAGAAGTTCTGTTAAAAAAATGCTCTAACTTAAAAGTTTATCAATCGTTTTCCACAATATTTTCAGAGTAACTGGGTCATTAAGACTGTACAGGCCCGTATATAAGACACTTTTCTCCAAGGGGGGTGCGTTTTTTACTAAAGAGAATATGACATTGTCAATTTTTGCCGCGTAAATCAAATCGTGTAAGTCAGATTGGAGGGGGGGGGGGTCGTTTACTCCCTATATTGGGGCCACTCAGCCTATTTTGTAGTATTTTATTGTTTTTAGACTAAATATTGAATGAGCAATTTGGAGAAACACTGGAATATGGGAAGGTGTTCTAGAAGGGCATAAATGTTTACCCGAAACCTTTTACCACTTCAAGATCACATTCAGTGATTTCTGACACTTTAAGGTGTTTTAATCAATAGAATCAATTTAAAGAAATTCAGATTTTCAATAATTTTCTTCTTAGCGGAGCGAGGGGCAGCACAGGAAAATTCTACCAATTCAAGATGCTGTCTGATTAATTCTGAGCACTTAATGTGTTTGAGTAAATGAATGCTTAAGTTTTTGGGGTGGGGTGCCAGAAACTTTTATGATTTCATTATGTCACTTGGTGACTGTTTAAGTGTCTAAACTGTCCAATTGTTTTGTATGGGGTGTGAGGAGTGGCCCACTCCCCGTAGAAAATTTTACACTTTTTAGATGCTATTTGGTGCTTTCTGGGCACTTTCAAAGTGTACCAGTCAATAAAAAAAATGGGAATTCTTTTGGGGGTGTCAAAGGGGATGAGAGGGTGAAGTATGGGGTGCCAGAGGGGGACCAAGTTGTTGTCCCCCAGAAACACTGACCATATCAAGGTGCTATTTGATGATGTCTGGGCACTTTAAAAACGTCTGAGACAATAAGTGAAATTCAGAATTTTTTCAATTATTTTGTGGGGGATTCGAGGGATGCCCAACTCTCCAAGAAAATTTTACAATTTTAAGATGATATTTGGTGCATCTGAGCACTTTTAAAGTGTATGAGTCAATAAAAAATTTGAAAAATAATTGTTTTTCTCAATTTTTGAGGGTTGTCAAAGGGGGGGGGGGATGCCAGAGGGGCATGTATATCCATAATTATGGCATATTCTATACTTTCGAACTGCTTTTTTTTAAATGATACTTTTTTCAGTCTTAGACGATTGGACTCTCTAAAGTCTATACATGTCTATACTTTCTATACTTTTGATTTTGGTGAATTCCCTATGTCTATACTTTCGATACTTTCTATGCTTTACATTTTGGTGAAATCCCTATGTCTATACTTTCTATACTTTCGATACTTTCTATACATTGTAAAACAATATGTGACGTAGGGTGGCTCAAAATAATTTTTTTTTGGAAATGTTATGCTCCCTACGTGAATCGAGTTAAATTTTGGGGTAAATATCAACTGTGATTTTTTTCAAATTTTTTAGTCAACTTTTTGGGGTCCCCCACAGCCTTTGAAGTTTGCCCATAGGCTTAACATTAGTGGGCGTCGCCCAAAATTGCACTTTGTAGAAGCTTTCTTCTAGAGTGATTTATATATGTTGTTTGAAGAAAAACAACATTGTATATGATATGATTAGATGTTTAAATCATCATATTACTCTGTTTCATCATGTGAACTTATATAAAAGGTTATACTTACAATATCCTATTAACAAAATATCAGGTACATTCGACCAGTATAATTATTTGAACAAGAACAGTTTTAGAGAATCATGTCTCATATATGATTTGGTATTCTCGTAAGAATGGTTTAATCTGTAAAAGGTATATTCATTCTTGACATTTGATGTTTTAAGCATGATTCAGATCAGCTTTTCTTATATGTGACACTCTTCCTCTATGATCTGAGTGTACAACACATACATTGTCACGATGCGCCACGTCACGGGTCATTTGAGAGCATTTCTGTACGAGCTTTACTGGTCGTTCAGCTGGATCATTAAGAGAATGCAGGTCTTGACAGAAATGCTATTGCCAGTACGACCCTGATATAGCAAACGCAGCTCTTCGCAGTGCAAGATGCCATCTATGGTACCTCTGCCCTAAATTAGTTGTTTTGTCCCTATTCGACGAATACACTGTTAGAGAGGAGAAGCAGGAGCTTGCTACAGCACTGCTCAACATCTCACAGCCTGTACAATTTGCAACTGGCAAACCAGGACAGCCTGACTTCAACCCAGTTGCTGCTCACTTAGGCAATGTTAAACCATCACTAGCAATGTTTGTAACTGAGAGATCTAATGGCTCTTATTTCACCTCCTGGAATCAGATCCAATTATATGCCATTGGCTTCAAGAGAATCCCGTTGCATGGCATACATATCCAACGTATGTTCAAACCCAGAATTTCTGTCAAGACCTGTATTCTGTTTATGATCCAGCTGAACGAGCAGTGAAGCTTGTACAGGAATGCTCTCAAATGACCCGTGACGTGGCTCATCGTGACAATGTATATGTTGTACACTCAGATCATAGACGAAGAGTGCCATATATAAGAAAAGCTGATCTGAACCATGTTTAAAACATTTAATGTCAAGAATGAATATACCTTTTACAGTTTAAACCATTATAATGACAATTATACCAAATCATATATGAGAATGATTATCTAAAACTGTACTTGTTCAAATAATTATACTGATCGAATGTACCTGATATTTTGTTAATAGGACATCATAAGTATAACCTTTTATGTAAGTTCACATGATGAAACAGAGTAATATGATGATTTAAACATCTAATCATATCATATACAATGTTGTTTTTCTTCAAACAACATAAATAAATCACTAGAAAAAAAGCTTCTACAAAGTATGATTTTGGGCGACGCCCACTAATGTTAAGCCTATGGGCAAACTTCAAAGGCTGTGGGGGACCCCTAAAAGTTGACTAAAAAATTTGAAAAAAATCACAGGTGATATTTACCCCAAAATGCAACTCGATTCATGTAGGGAGCATAACATTTCCAAAAAAAAATTATTTTGAGCCACCCTAATGTGACGTCATAAGTTTCTTGGTCACTTTCGATTTTGGTGAATTGCTTCAATGTATTGTAAAGCAATATGTGATAGAAAGTATAGAAACTATAGACATCTAATTTGTCAAAGACAGTTTTGTGAAAAGCAGATAGAAAGTATAGAAACTGTAGACATCTGAAGACAGTTATGGGGAAAAGCAGATCGAAAGTATAGAAAGTATAGAAACTGTAGACATCTGATTTGTCGAAGACAGTTATGGGGAAAATCAGATCGAAAGTATAGAAACTATAGACATCTGATTTGTCGAAGACAGTTATGGGAAAAAGCAGATCGAAAGTATAGAAAGTATAGACATCTGATATGTCGAAGACAGTTCTGGGAAATAGCAGATAGAAAGTATAGAAACTATAGACATCTGATTTGTATAAGACAGTTATAGGAAAAAGCAGATCGAAAGTATAGAAAGTATAGAAACTATAGACATCTGCTTTGTCAAAGGCAGTTAGTATGAAAGGGCATTTCGAAAGTATATAAACTATAGACATCTGATTTGTCAAAGGCAGTTGGTATGAAAAAGCAGTTCGAAAGTATAGAAACGTCGAAGGCAGATAGTATGAAAAAGGAGATCGAAAGTATAGAAAGTATAGACAATGTATAGAAAGTATAGACATTGCCATAATTTTGGATATTGGGGAAGGTTGGGTGGGGATGCCAGAGGGCGAGTAAAAATCATTGACTACATCAAGGAGCTATTTGATGATGTCTGGGAAGTTTAAAAGTGTCTGAGACAATACACAAAATTCAGAATTATTTCAATTGTTTTGTGGGGGATGTGAGGGGTGCCCAATTGAAAAATAAAACTAATTACCAACTTATTACCAACTAATTTACAACTAATTATCAACAATTCTGCTGGCAATTGGAATTAAAGTTAAGCGTTAATTAAATCAATGATAATTATGGCCTAATTATCAGTAGCAAGTTCAACGTAAATTAACTTACAATAATGCTGATTTATGATTTTTAGTTGATAATTAAGATATGAAATGTTTGAGGGTGATAGTAAGTGGTAAATTAAAACTTTTTTGTTCTGAAGTAGATAATTGGTTGATAGTTAACATAAAGGATGATTATAATGATAATTAGTCGTAAATTAGGCCCATGATTTAGAAATACAAACCCCCTAAATTTAATTTCAAGATGGTGGAAAAAGAAAACATGTGAGAGATATTTCTCTCATAAAATTGAGAATTACAACGTGAATGGTGTGTATACTACCATGAAATTTGGTCAACATTATTATAAGGGTATGTAGAACATGAATACAATGTATGTTAAATCTTATTCATACTTCTGTCTGAAATGTTTATGTATTTAAAAATCTTTTTGAATCAGATCATATAATATTAATCCTAGAATGCAATTTAGGTACTAACATGGGTTACCTATATTTCACAAGTAATCCAAATGTGCTCTTCTAAATAATGATTGTTAGATCAAAGACATTTCAAAACATATTTTTGATTATATCTGTTACGTCCTTATTATGTAACATTATAGTCTAATGTTTGTGTTCTGATTTTAGTTGTTGATGGCAATAATGATGTTTTCACATGCTTTTCATGAATCTTAAAAATTTGCAAAATAGAATAGCTTTAAAAAAGAGGTGGAGAAACCCCAGGGTTCAAAGATGACATACGCTTATAATGTAAATCTGTTTTGAGATGACATCGTCG